TAAAAGAGAAAATTCTGACCTGCATGGCAATGCGGACTGGGAAAACCTTCTGATTTACACATCGATTCCAGAAAGGCTGTTTACTCCGCAGTAGTGACTTAGTTACAGCATACGCTGTCTTAGGTTAGGTTAAACCACTTTAAAACCGGTGAGGTTTTTCCACCCCTGGTTTAGGACTGCTGCAAGAGACACTCAAGTGCGTGTCCCCACCCGACGTCACCGCTCTCCAGCGGCAGAGCTGGGGCTGTTTGCTGGGAGGAGAAGGACGCGGGAGCCTGGCCGTGGTCAGTGGCACAGCACTAGGGAACGTCGGAGGGCTGCGGCAGGGATAAGCACGTCCATGGCATGAAGTCTCAGCTTTGCAGCTGAAGTGGAAGGGCGTCCGATAGTGTGGTGATAAGCAGATTGATATTGGGCTAATGATTGTCCTGGGCCCATCAAAGGTTTATCCAAAATTGGCTGTCCTATGGAAAAAGAGGGGAAGGTGGAAAAGAGCCTGAATGAACACGTGGTTGAAGCTTCTTTGCTCGCTGCGCCTACAAAGACAGCGACTAAGCAGTTAGAAACTGCAGGATGGATGCATTATACTTTAAAAACAGTAAGAATAATGTGAGATATGATGCATAAAAAAATACATGTATCTAAAGCTGCTGTTCAAGCTGCTGGACGGTTTGAACATCGTGCTGGTGGTACGTACTAATACACCTGCAAGTCTTTATTTGAAGCCGTTTGCTATACAGCATCAGTGCTGAGCCGAGTTGTACGGCTGGGCTTGGTCCCTGGAAGAGGTGAGGACGCTCTGGAGCAGGGAACAGCCTTATCTGAAGCAGAAGTATTGGTCTGGGGTACCTGGAGGACAAGTATCTCGGCAGGCGGAGGATGACCCACGGGACAGGCAGATCCTGGAGGTGTCAGCAAAACCGAGAGCGCCTTGGAGAGCACGGCGTTCGGTTGTTTTGAGATGTGTGAAATAGTCTTGAGTTGTTTCTTTCCTGAATGCCAGAGAAGAACGGAGTTTAATGAATGCCTTTAATGTGTGCAATGACAGAAGAGAAGACCTCAAACTTTTGATTAAAGTTAAAAAAAAAAAAAGATTTTTTTCATTCCCTTTACAATTAAATTTATGAAGTTGCAGAACAGTACTGTAACTTCAGAAATTTTGTGATGATTTCTTAAGCATCTCATAATCCAAAATTGTTTACATGAAGCAATTACTGAGGAAAAAATTATATTGTGTGGTGGTGACACCAGCTCAGGACGGGCCTGGGAAGCGGCGTGCTGCTTGATGCTGACACCACCATGAATAGGTAGGACGTGCCTTCCCCACCCCCCAACCCCAAGAGATCTTGTGAGCAATGAGACTCAGCCTAGTAGATCTGATGTCTTATTTCTTTGCTCTAAGCAGCAGAGCACGGTGATGGTAATATGCAAAGGCAGTTTTTCTGCATCCAGCTGAGCCCAGGAGAGCACTGTGGAATGAGGGAGAGGAAGGATCGGTGGGCTGAAACACGGCTAATTAAGAAATAATCGATCACAAAAAGTTCTTTTTAAAAAATGCTTACTCCTTTCTCTGTTCGGTTGAGGAATGAGGTTGAAGAAAAGCCTCTGTGCTGAAAAGAAAGTGATTTATGGTTTAAACCCTTTAAAAAGTACAGACTGCCCTTTGTTTGTAGTAGCGTAACAAATGAACTTGGCGCAATGTAAGAAAGGCCGTATAAATGCTGGTGCGTTCTGGCATAAATCTGGCCAGTTGCAGGTTGTGTTCCTTGCATATACCAGCTCTCAAAACAGGCAGGAGGCAAGCACTGAGCACACATTTGTGAACACCTGTAGGGGAAAAAAGTGGTTTAAGCAACTTAAAACCACTTGAAGCAAGTGGTTTTGAGCAAACAGGCAGCCCCTAGGAAGCAAACAGATTTGGAAATGTTGTGTCCAAACAATTAAAATATGCCAGAGTAAGAAGCAGTTCTTCTAACAGGAAGTGTTGGACAACGTTTACGCACGCGCATTTATGCAGCCGCACCTACAATGCAACGTTTGCTGCAATGTTGTAAAAGCTAATTAATGTTATATCCGTGGAATAATAGTGTAGAGAGTGGAAGAGAGCTATTTATTAAAATCAACATGCAAATGCTTTCCAATGTAAAGCCCTGGAGAGCTGAAGAAGCAGAACGTTTTAATTTCAGTGAATTTGTGGAGGAGCTGCGCTGGCTGCTGCCCCGGGAGCAGCTCGGACCCGACTCTCCGGAGAGCTGCCTTCGTCTGCCCCGTGCTCCCGGCGCGAGCCGGAGAGGGTGTTTGTAAGAAGCCAGGCCTTTTAGAGTCAGATTGATTGCTCAGGCTGTTTTCCTATTATTTTAAAAATAATTTCCATGTGCATTTTCTTTAGCAGCTTCCTCAAGTCTCGGGCAATAGAGTGGAGTCACGGAACAGCGGCTGGAGCTGCAGTCCCGTTGCGAGGACGATGAAGGAGACAGAAGAGCAGCTGCTGCTGGTGAGCAGAGAAAACCAAGTGCTGAAGATCAAGGTGCGTTCAGGGTTTTTTTTCTTTAAGGTTTCAGATGAATATGTGCACCTTGCAACCCGGTTCGAGTTGGGTCCCGGCTGCTGCTCAGTGATCCCATGCCGGAGCCTTTCCTTCAGGGAAGGGGCAGACTCTGCTTCGCTTCCCGCCTGCTGCAAACCCTTGCATTCCGGCAGGCAATAAAATTCCTGTCGAAATCTGCTTCTGGGGACACATCCCCTTCGTGGCTAGGGAGGGAGCACAGTCAGCTCTTGGTAGTTGACAGCAGATGTATTTATAAGCAGTTGGAAGTGCATCTCTCCTTTTACACCATCAGCCTTTGTTTGTCATGGGGGGATGGCTCAATACTGAATAAATCTGCCTTTATTTGGAAACTAAAATGCCTGTCAGGTATTGCCCGCAGGTGTTTAGGATTCCTTTCTTTTTTGACAAGGGCAAACGCTGAAATTTGACCTTGTATAGAGGGCTGATTTTTTGGCATGTGATATAACATCACATTTTTAAAGCACAATATTTATGTATCGTACAACTACTCTTTCTAGCTGGAAGCCACGAGAGAAGCAGGTGTTCAGGCTCTCAGATCTGCCTCCCAGAAACTGTATAAGAATTACCAGACTCGGTCAGAAGAACTGAAAAAAAGTCATGAGAATGAGAAGAAGGAAATCCAGGTACAAATCTCTCCCATGTCCTGTTCACTGTCAGAATATTTACATGGGCTCTGGCTCTCCGTGCTGCAAGCTTCGACCTAAGGGCTACTGAGCCTCTTCTGCTAGCGCAGTGGGGAAGTAGGAAAATGAAAAATTATTTTGGTTTTATTCCCGATTCTTGGAATCGGGTTGGTAGAGTTGGCTCAGAATTCCCTCAGCCCCATCTCCATCCATCTGCTGCGCTCCCCAGCTCCCGCAGCCTGCATTAATGCCCTGCTTGGTCCCAGGCCTACCGTCTCCAACAAGAAGAGAAGCTCCAGCAAAGCTCAGAACACGCCAGCCGCCTTGCTGAAGGCATCGGGGAAAAATGTACCCGCATCGCAGAGATGGAGAAGCGCCTGCAAAGGATGGAGGAGGTACGTCCGCCCCCCTCCTTGTGTCCGTCCGTCCTGGCACCGAGAGTCGGCGCAGGCGAGGAACCTGCCCTGGCAGTGCCGGCGCTTGGAAAGAGGAGTTAATTGCTTTCAGGGTTTGGGGCACGTTAGCTGTTGGAGTTGGCACTAAAAAGGCTTCTGCCATGTTACACCAAATTGAGAACCTTTAGCTCTAACTATAAATAAAATGTGCAATCTGAGCTCCCTCTTTCAGTTATTTCTGAACTTGCTTAAAAACTGTAGAGCATCAGGGAGAAGCCTTAATTTCTAGCTATTGATGATTTCTACTCCTGAGTAGTTGCTCTGTCACCTTCCCCCAGCGGCATACTTCTAGCATTTGAAGTGAAAATGTAGCCATCCTAGCACTAAAAACTGCTTCTTAACTCTCAGAAAAACGCCACTGTAAGTATCCGAAATCCTGGGCAGGCAAATGACTGCTGTAGCAATCGGACAGCTGCATGCACAGAAACTCGCAGAAAAATTGTTCTCCTTTATCGTGAATTTTCTTCGGTGGTGTTAGTTGCATTGGAAGAAGCAATGGCACCGTGCATCGTTTTTCTGATGTACGCACTCAGTAGCAGTGGGAATTACTGTAAATTGACGGGGTCAATGCGTGTATTTCCACCCCTATCACATGCAGGTAATCTTTCTGATCCTAAGAGTTTTGTCATCGGTTTTGGTCAGATTTTTCCCTCTGTCGACAAGGTTTTGAGAGGTGGATGTAGCGGTAATGCAGTATCCCGTGGCCACTGAGCATGGACTCTCACAAAACCTAAGGATTTTGCTAATTAAGTAGAGAACTGCTATTTTCAGAGAGCTTGGACTTTTCTCATGGTAAATCGGTACTGTCATCCCTTCGGATTCGGTTCAGAGAGGTCAGACTGGTTTGTATCTCCAGCCGATGTTGACGCAGGTTGATGTGGGTGGTTATTGCTGAATTCTGTCTGTTTTCAGACACTGAGTGGAACCGTTGAAGGTACAGCCAAACTTCTCTTGCTAATTGAATGACAGGAAATGTAATATAGTTTTTACATAACTTGAATTGTTTCCTTAGGAAAAGAAAACTCTGATAGAGAAGAAAATGTCATTTGAAAAGATGCTTCAACAGATGATGTCAAGGAATGAAGACAGCAAACGGTGATTAAATGCATGTGATAAAGTGTTTTTCTTTCCTTCTGGAGGATTATTTCATGTAAAGTACCAGACAATCACTTGCTCAAGTTCCTTCTGGTAGTAAAATTATTCACAATGAAAGCATCTGATTTACCGTGATTGTTTGAAGAAGCCAAGACCGATGTTTATGTCCTACAGCTCTTAGATGTTGATTCTACTTGAATTCCTATTACTTTTCCTTCCACCTTGCATGCACAAATTGCTTCCCTTTCCTGATTCTCGCGTGGGGTTGATGCTTCTTTGGTGACATTGTGCATACAGTAGGTAAGACAAAAGCCTTCATTTATGAATTTACTTATCAACAACTAGTAAGGGTGGTCCTACCAGGCAAAATGTGTCTCAAACTATGGTTTTATTTGTTCTGCTTAATAAAGAAGCCTGTGTATGTGTAGTTCTATATGAATTACAGCCATGTATCCTCAGGAACATCCTTACTAGCAACAAGCTCTTGAGCTAACCCCAAGGTGGGAAAGCAGCTGGGTGGGTCAGCAATCCCTAGGGATTGAACCCGGGGTGCTTCTGCTCTCGCCCGCAGGTGCCTGGATCTCCAGAAGCAGATTTCCACCCTGCAGGAGCAGATCTGCCACCTGCAGCGCGTGATCCAGGCGCAGCACCACAGCCTGCGCAGCGTGATACAGGAGGTGAGGCTGGTGCCGCCGTCCCACCGGGCGGGGAGAAGGAACGGGAGGCGCTGGGCTCTGGGCTCTTGTCTGAAGCACGTGTGCTGGGGACGAGCAGCCTGCTTGTCACGCTGCGCCGGGTTTTGTGCATTCAGACATCCATACGCGTTTCAATGTTAAGATGGAAATGGCATCACTGTAAAAGATGGGATTATTGTGGTGGAGTCAGCGATTTCAGGCAGACCCCTGTGTTCTCCTAGAGCATTCCTGGGGGACCTGGCTCCCCGCTGCACGGCGTGCTCCCGGGGGGGACCTGGCTGCCCCGGGGATGCTCTGCCTGAGGTGCCCACCCTGCAGCTGGTTTCACACGAAGTCAGTGAAGCTGCTCCCACGAGCAAAGCCAACAGGCCGACATCCTAGAAAGACTACAACAGAATTCAGAGCAATCAGCCTGCTTCCCAAAGTCACGATACAGCGTGAGCTGTTTTACTCACCGACTGCTTTTTATGTATGAACTCCCGCTGTACTCCCCTCGCCTCGCAGAACACGTGCTTGCCTTTTCCCATCCAGCTAAAGCAAGGCCCTGCGCTAATTAGCTGTTGTAATCAGGCTTCTGTACACGTGCCAACAAGAGGTAGACTTGTTATCCTAAGGAAAACGCGACACCCTGTGTTGAGAAATTGTTTTATAAATCATTTAATCAATTAGTTTGAGTTCTTCTATGGTAAAAGACTAGGGACTTCAATGGTCTGCAATTCCCCTGGTACGGTGAGACGTGTAACTCTGTGGTTTTGTTCGACACGGAGGTGTTTAAGATGTATTAAGGTTTCAAATCTCTTACAAACTTTATTTCCTAACTCTCAGGCAGAGGAACTGAACAATGAACTCAGAAGCCAAGATAAAAAAATAGAAAACCTGACAGAGAAGCTGACTGCACTGGAAGCGCAGGTAAGGTCAGAAAGTGAAAAGATGTATTGAAGGGAGAGAGCAAAAGTAGTTCTCTACAATCAGAGGGCCCTTCACACTGCTGGGCTTGTGTCAGTAGAACACTGTCGGGGTGGTATTTCTTTGCACTGCACCTTTCACTTGGTTTTAAAAAAAAAATCCCACCCACAAAAAGTCCCCCCAAGCCCCCCAAAAACCTTTCTGGAGGAGTGGCAGGTCCTAGCTGCCATCTAGGCTTGTCTCTTGTCTGCTACGTTACACTGAGAGGGGTTTATTTTATTTTTTTCCTTGCAGAATAAAGAACTGAAAGACAGAGTGGAGTTCTGGTCTGGCCAGCCCAAGACTAAAGTTTCAAAAGCAGTCTGGACAGAGTAAGTACCTCGGGAGGCACGGGAACAGCTGAGCCCACCCTTCTCACCGGCCACCTCCGGTGTGCCCGCAGGGGCTTGGGTGAGCGGGGTCAGGCCTTGCTGGGAGCAACCAAATTTCATCCTGCAGAGATTATCTTCTCTATAAAGGACAGGAAAAAAGCTCTGCTTCAAACTTAGTCGCTGATGGTGTGACGGTCGTACCCCGAATCCTGACTCCCACGCAGCCGTCCAGCTCAGGTGGGGTGTGCTCAGCACATCAACCAAGGGCATCTGCAGACGCTTGTACATCCGTTCAAGATTAAATAGCCTTTCCTGGGGGATACAGTCCTTTGCTGTAGTAGATCTGGACGCAAGTTTCTGCTCGCAGAACAGGCATTTGAAGTCAGCTCCTCCATAGCCAGGGTCATAGTTATAAACCTCTGACTTATTTCATCTGGAGTTGTGGTGGGTTTAAGCCTGGCTTGGGCAGGTGAGGGTGTCTGAGTGATCTCTACCTTCTTGTGCCTCATTCTGCAGCGCCCCGCGAGATTTTGGAGCTTTTGGAGCTTCCCGTTACCTGATGCTTGCCAGGCTAAGGAAGCAAGAGAGCTAAAGGAATGACTGGATGTTTGCCTCCTACCTTCGTCAGAAGGATTTCTGTGTGTTGCAACCTGTAACTCCTATGGCCTCTTTGTTACTGCAAAGCACCTTCAGCACGTGCTGCCTCCCTACGACACGTGGTGCGAAGCAATCGAGAGCTGAGGAGAGAGGTGGTGAGCTCTTAGACGGCAAAGGCAGCCCCGGCCGTGCCGCACTGCCGGACCAGCCCTGCGCCGCCCACCCACACAGACTTGCAGAGACTCAGTTTAACCACGACTCTCATTTAGGTAAGACTACAAAATAAACCTTCGGCTACCTGGTGCGTTGTTACAGTCGCCGCTTTCCCGCCTGCTGTTGGAGCACAGGGTGGAGGTGGAGCAGTGGCCCTGCCCTTTCAGGGGGGCTCAGCTCTCCTCAAGCGTTCGACCCTGCGGGCACAGCGTGTTTTAGGCATAGCAGCAGCATAATGTCACGGTGTCCTCAGGCAAGGAGTGAGCGGGTTAACCTGACTCTTGCTTTCCTGAAAACTTGCCATGGAAAATGGCAAGTTTTCTGTCCACATCAGCGGGAGTATGAAGTTCCTCCTTGAGCCTTCCCTCTGTCTGAAATGCCTTTTGGAGGGGAAAGCAGCTGCTGCAGGGGGAGGGCTGTTTTTTCTCCTCCCTAAAGTGGGAGAGGTGCTGTGGTAGTCAGCAATCCCCTGTTCGAGAGATGTGGCACACCTCGGGAGCTAAACGGTGTCCCCAGGGGAGTGACAGTGGCTTCGCACACTCATGTTTACCTCTGCACTGTGGGGTGGAGGGAACCCAAGAACTGCCCTGTCCCTGGTCTGTCTTCTAATCCCTGATGCGCAGACAGAGCAGCATTTGGGGGGGGAAGTGTTGATTGTTAAATAAGGCTTAAAGGTACCAAGTTTCAGTTTGTTCATTTTCTTACCTAACTTGAGATACATTATTCATACGTGGTTAAGGTGCAAATAAAAGCTTGGCACCTGCTTAATAGCGGGGTGAGGCAGGTTGTGTGTGGTCCGGCAGGTGCCGCGGGAGTGGGCAGCGCAGCCCCCAGCCTGCCTGGTTATACTTACTTAGCCACCATTTAAGAGGGTGAGCTTTGTAAACTGTACCATTTCCCTGCCAAGCGTGGGCAAGGAGCTGGTGGTCCGTCCTTTCCCATCCCTCCCTCGGGAGAAACTGAGCACAAGGTAAAGTCAGGGTGCCAATGCCGAGCTGCCATGGGGCAGGCTGGGTGCTGACCTGCGGCGAGGTTTGCAAACGCACCCTGAGCAACCCTCAGCCAGCCTGAAAAGCCTTGCTTCTCTTTCCGTGGATCCTCCCCTTGTTTTCCTAAGGTGCCAGATTGCTAATGCTGCATAACTAGGCTGCACCTCTTGAGGAGAAGCCTCTGCTTCCCCCCAAAACAGCTGAGACACCACATTTAAAAATGTACTTTTATTCTGAAAATAACAGTGCAGAAACTGAGTCACAGGGTACATTCCTCAGCTGTATTACACAAACCCAGACACCAGTGAATCAGTTGACAGTATGTTTTGAAGCCACGGGTACTTTGGTACAACAGAGTGACATGAACATCGGTAAGCAAGCGCCACGGTCCAATCAAGGGGCATCTATAATAAAAAATACTATTTGTGTTCAAGATAGTTTCAATCACGCTCATAGCACTAGGCATAGCACAGATCTGTTGAAGACAAACATAAAACATGCTTACAGTAGCATAACAGAAGGAAACACTTAAAAGGTAATTGATACAGGATGCTTAGTGTTTATCCAGAAGGTGGGGAATAATACCTTAACAAAACCAAAGAAAGAACCATTTAACTTCCATAAGTAAGTAAGTTGAGTAAGATACAACAGGCTTCTAATATACAGTTTGTCCATTAAGCCCTATTGCACGATGAGGATGAACAACTTTAGGGTCTACTTCCTAAAGTTATGTTTTAACTAGGTAACCATATGGAACAAAAGCACATAGCAAAGAATCATTTCCTCTGTTGCCTTTAACTAGTTTAGATAGAAATAATTATAATAAATTAGAAACAGATCTGCCCAGCATCAAAGAGAATAGTCCTAAGTCAACAGCATCCTCTGGGAAAAGAAAAAAAAACAAACCACAAAACTTATCCTATATAGGTGTGGGTTTTTTGGGGGGGGGAGAGGGAATTTATGTTTCAAGTAGAAGAATTAAGACAGGAAAGAAGCTGCGAAAATTTGGCTTTCTCTTTAAAGATGCCACAAGCCAGGTCTCCTACAGTCAGGTAGAAAACTATTCATTTTTACAGCTTCACATCAGTTACAACACTTTTTTTCTCCTTTTCTTTGTAAGATCAGAGCATGGTCTGAAACTCCTACAGTGTTCACACCTGTATAAAAATAGCAGTCACTTGAGGTTATTTTTACGCTTGCTACTTTTCTTCAGTTATAGTGCCAAGAACACAAATTTTAAAATAACAGCTCCAGATTTTTTTTTTTTTTTTTTTTTTAAGTTTAGCCTGAAAACTTTAGTTATATCCATGGATTGAAATAGTTCTAGGAGATAAAACCTCTTACCTTGCAAGAGTCCCAAAGAGTCACTATGGAGCAGGTATCACAATCACATCTTGTACAACTTTAAGAAAGTTGCTTACATGATCCTATCCTCTAAAATGTAAACGTATGTGTGATAATCCTTTACACATTCAGAATGTTAAATAAGATGTAGCCTTCAGAAAACAGTTAAGGCAATCGGTTTTTATAAAGTTACCAAGACAGCAAGGAAATGGCAGCTGCTCTCAAACATCTTTTGCTACATCATACTTGCTGCCAGTCTCAGCATGTGAGCAGTCAGCAAATTGCCAGTTCTTGCCTTATGTCTCCTCTTTTTAAAAAAAGCATGTTTCAGGCACCCAAACCCCCTCTTTCTTCCTTCCCCCCCCCC